GCTCTGGACTGTCGGTGTCTGTGTGGTGACCAACTCGTGAGATATGGCATCTAGTAATGAGTTAATAGCAGTCACACCGGATGTGGCTTGCCTACTTAACGATCATTAATTGTCGGAGTAGGTGGCGCAGATGCATCGGGCGGTTAGCAAGCCTTATTTTAGCCTTCGACTTAGGTACGGAGCTCTGAGGGGTTTGCTGTAGAGCAAGATCAGTGTTGTTAGGTTCTAATAGCAAACCCTGATGCTCGCCGTTTGCTGGGCTGCATCAGTCCGTTTTTCACACTTTTCACGAGCGAAAGTATACACTTCACTATTGGGATTGCTCTGCATATTTGGCAAAAGCAGAGCGAATCATACAGGTTGATTTGTCTCTTGTACTGTAGTTGCATTTAACCAGCACAGGGGTGGAACGGAAGACAGCAAAATTCCCAAATAATGTCTCGTTAAACATGGCGTGTACACTTCTGCTTACAATATCTGCGGTTAGGTGGAATCAATTTCATTGAGGGACGTTGCTGCAAACGAACGCCTCTTTTGTCTGGTCACGTGAGGTAGAGGGTGAGTGACGCTTACGTTCTTTGTCCCAGTCGCACTCTCGATGTCAGTTATCGTGAGTGAGTGCGCACGACGAGGACACACGTACACGGAGGTTGGCTAGCTTATTGATCCACACTGGTTCCCGTAGAACGAAGCCGCTGGAAGTGGGTTGTAGTGAGTAGATGACAGCGAAAAGTGCCAGCGATGGGCGAGTGAAATTGAAACCACAGATTGAGTCGTAGCTTCGTTAGAAAGGATCATATGGATGTAATTCTAGGACCACCAGACAGTGCGGAGAACCCTTGATCGACCACAGTTTCATGGCAGTGAAAATTGTTAAAAAACAAAGTGGCACGTCTGGATGGAAGCACGAAGCGTGCAAAAAGAACTTGGGTAGTATAAATCACTTTCCACAGGAGTCCCGTAAAAATACGCCCACTGAACAAGGGAGTTAATCCAATTCAAATGTGTGTATGATGACTGCGCTAGGTGAAGAAGACGTGAAACTCTGTGACAGAGGACAACACGTCTACTATGCGAACAGTCAGGACTTTGATAAGCACAGTTTTTTAATAAACTATATAATATGGTGAGTCTATAGTTGCTCATTTCACTTAATTGTCACAGCTTTATTTGAAATAAGGAAATTCACAGAAAACATCCTACGGGATTTGCTATGCATTGGCTGCTTTATCAACACTATACCCTTGTTCAATTGAATGCAGTGCAAATAAGTGAGCGTTTTACTATTCTCACAACTGACACTAACTACAAGGAAGGCTTAGGTCAGTTCTTATGCTTCCATAAAACCTTCTACATTGTAATCCATCGGGTTACTTTAAGCCTATCATTCTTAATCCGTAATATGTCAACTACTCATTGATTTAATGATATACGTCTATTTTGGTAAGCCTGTACACACTAACTTAATACGTTTCGTTTTATCAAGCCTACGAGACTAATTAGGTACACACCATTCTCTAGGTAAGAAATCAGTTTTATGGAATTAAACTGCGGTAGCTAAATTACCGTAGCCTATTGGACAATGAACCATTTACTGAATCGACTCAGATTGTATGGTGACTGAAGTAAGGAACCGGGATTACTACATACAAAAACTTATGAGCGGTCGATGTTACAAACCTCTCTCGCATAGCTGCGCAGCGCAGACATCAAGGACAAACTGGGTCGTAAATAAATCATACGCACATTCACTTACAGCGCTAGCTCCTAACTCATGTGTCCAACTAAAGGCAAATAAGTCGATAAGAGCAAACATGCGGCAGGATCAGCAACAACGAAATCATCGTCATCATCATCAACAACAAGCACAACAACAGTACATCAGTCAATTGAACTAACGCTCCACTACCGAATAACCACGGTGACGTACGGAACGAGGAATAATAACAGTGGAAGAAGAGGGACCTACTATGTAACTTTAGTGCCCAGAGCAAATATTCAGGAGGAAGGCGCCTACACCTTTAAATAAAGAACTGTAACGAAGAGCTGGTTATCGTGCAAAGTAAGGTGGCATCGGCGAGACGGCTTCCATGCGGCTTTAACTGCAATGCGTCATCAGCAGCCGGTAAACCGCAGATAACCGGTAGCAAACACACGTGAAACAGGCAGTCCGACTAGGAGACGGAAGCAGATGCGCAACTGATGTCGACTGCGAGTCATGCCCTGTAAAGTTTCGAGCAAAGCGCAAGGAGAGACGGACCAAAGCCATCCAGTTATGCAGCCAATGACCTCATTTTCCGCTGCCATATCAACTTTTCCCACCTGGAGCACTGCGCCACCTTACATATGGCAGCGAAAACAAGCACTTTCTCAGTAGGCGGTGACTGAGCATACGTAGTACGGGCCAAACTCAAAGCAGCTTATTCAGTGCTATCTGTTATTCCAAGGAATCAGCTTGGTTATCACAGCCGAGCATCAGCCTGCGCACATCATCGTTGTGGACACGCTGGTACCACTCTCCCCCACACACCAGCAATACTCCGCAGACAACGAAGATCAAAGACCAGAAGGCGCCTCCGATCCTCAAATCGAAGCGGCACAGATTCGCCCCCTTAGATTTGAACGGCCCTCATTGTGTCCTTGTGAACACGGCCCTTCAGACCGAGGTAAAACCCATTTCTGATGCCAAAATATCGCGAATTCAAGAAGGCATTTCTAGCTTTTGCAATACGTGATTTGACTTCAGTGCTTATATGCACATCGTTGCTAATACAGCCGCCACTGTAGGTGTAAGTATCAACTACCCCGAGTTTCTCGCCATCGAGGGGCAAGCATAGTGAAGTCAATGATGGTCCTTCAACAACACTTTGCACTTTAAAGTGTGAAATGCATGTTGAATGACGAGACAAATCTGTGGAGTTTATTCAGAGTTGATTGGGCCGCCCCAACATCGCCAAATAGCAAGGCAATCTCGTCCGCATAATCAGTGATCAACCAGCATTTCATCACGCTGCACCTCAACGCCAGCATCGTGAGGCTCCACAATGGAGCGCTCCATGATGGAGTTCACTACGGAAGCGAAAGAAAATGTTTAAATTCGACAACCCTGAAGAAGACTACTTGTTGTCGGAAAGGGATCCGATAGGTCACCATAGACCCTGACGCGCATTTTGGTCTTCGCATACAGGGCACGGAAATTTTTCTCATGTTTCACGTGATCACTTTTCCGAGCAAGTATTTCGAAAAGAATGCATCGATCGACTGAGACGAATGCACTCCTGAAATTGAGGAACACAGCTGTTGTCTGTCTGCATTACGTTTAGCGATGCTCTACACCTACCGCGGAGTGAATGCAGCCCCGTCCTAGACGGAAAACTGCCTGCTCTTCCGTAGTTCGGGATTACTGTTCTGCAATGAGGCGACCAGCGAGAATTGAGGCTATTACTTACTGGTGTAAGGCGAATACCTGTATGGTTAGCATAGTCGGAGATACTGCCCTTCTCGTATGTTGCCACTACGATCAACTCACTCCAGTTAGCCGTGCTTGTCTCTTCTTCCAGACTTGTTCGAACATAGTGGTCAGTGCTTAGCAGTAGACCTTACTACCATCCTTAAATAGTGCAAGTACGATGGAATCCGGGGCTGTAGCTCGGAAAATATTAGGGACTGAGATGGGTTTTGGAATTCTGCATCTGATGGATCCTCTAGGAAACCCGGTCATAGCTCCGCCACAGTAAGAAATGGTCCAGGAGAGGGGAACTATTTGAACTGATCTTGAAAGCGCTCCTCCCAACGAACAATACGGCGCTCCTTATTGTGAGTCACAGCACCCACGCTATCTCTGATTGTCTCAATAACGCCTTTTTCCTGGGACGAGTGGTGTGGATCAGTTTGAAGAGCTCGCGATAATCCTCTACTGTTCCACTAAGCTTCCTCGTCAGCACGCAGGCTCCGCTTTAGTTCGCGTCTAATAGTCAGTCTGGTAACACTGTGGTCAGAGCCAGCAGGGAGATTTTTTCTATATTCCAACAGGTCCACTGGCTTCTCAGATATCCAGTGACTGGTGCGGTGACGATTGATAGTGCTGCAAGCAGAGCCTCCCGACTCGTGCATGGCGACCGAGAGCTTATTCCACTGAAGCTGAATGTCATCTCATTGTCCTGGTTATTAGGTTGACATTAAGTGACCTAGTGACACGAACAATGAGATCCCTGGGAAATGATTACCGCAAGAGCTAACAACACCCCGTTCGATTAGTGCCATGCGCGTTATATACCTTGGTTGTGATAGACAGTACCAAACTGGACTGCTATCCACTGTGGAATGAAAATCATTCGGTTTGATCACGGGGATTTTATCTGAAGCAGAAAAAATTACGTGTTACTTGACCACGTATATGCAACAACAACAACAACACATAAATTTGCCCCTGCGATCAAACTGATTGATTTTCGTTCCACAATGGATAGCGGTCCAGTCTGCAACTGCCTATCAAACCAAGACACGCAAAGCACATGGCAATACTCCAACGGGGTGTTATTATCTCCTGCGGCAATCATTTCCCAGAAATTTCGGTGTCCTGGTCATTAGGTCATCTACTATCAATTCTTGCATTCCGGTCGTGGAGTTCATTGCTGAAGATTACCGACACCGAAAGTGTCTTCATTTCGAATGAAGCCCTGGTGATCCAACTGACCGTGATCTACTTCGAAATGAGATTGCAGCACGTAATTCAGACACGCAGCGAGTACTCCAAAACACAACAATGAATTCCTGGCCACAAAGCTCACAGTACCAGTGATCAAGGTGTCAAACAGGTCAATTTATTATTCCCAGACCGGCTAGTTTTACCGGACTAAGAGTAGATGAAAAAGTTGACCGTCGTGAATCACAGTCTCGAAAACAAGTTCGTCTCACTCATGTCCCGTCAAAGAATTTAACACAGATATCAAAAAGTACAACGGGACTAGATTACTTATGTAATAAGGAGATTCACTTACGCTTGAAGAAGTCCATGGAGAGCTGGCCCAGCGCAACCGAGCAGAATGAGAAACACAACAGCGTCACAGTCCAAACGGACGTCATGGAAACCAACTTGACGATGACGGTGGAGTCATAACCGTCCGCATTTTAACTGCTCCAACCCACTGTCGGATTTTGCAACAGTGCTCGTCTGGTTTGGACAGAGTACGATCGGATACATTGTGCAAATTTAATTGGAAAAATTCGGATTGAGACCGAGCTGAAAAATTACCAGGATGTAACCATCGAACGCGTAACAGTCTGGATACAAATGGTGAGTGCAGCAGACGCTGCGGGTTAGAAGCTGGTAAAAGTGTGACTCTCAGCGCAGTAGAATCAGTCGTGATGTCACTTCGCAATGGGACGACAGTGAATTATGTTTTCCCCAAGGGTTGGCGCGGCCGAACATCGACCAATATTGATCGTAGCTGTGGAAACAGTTAGATCAACAGAAGCGGATCGAAAACCAAATTCCGAAATGGGTTGTTGCCAATATGAAAAGTCAAGAACCAGAACAGACGTTAAGCACTACAATTTCAGTCTGGCCAAGTGCAGGTCATCAAGCTGACTCGGACTTAGTATTTATGGTAGTTTACTAAACTATAAACACCTAAATACTCAAGCGCGTGGAAACCGTGGCCAGTAATCACACTCTTCCTGACCTTTTTGTGCAAAACAGCTGACTCGCGCTGAAACTTCCTTGGGGATCGCGACAATGGTTGCACACCATTGAATCTGTTGTCATTTGTGTCCTTATCTTCCTTTCTGTCAACATTCAAATAATTGATTCTTACAATCCGTGATCGTATGCATGCGTTCAGATAGCTCGCGGCACCTCTGGACGTGGTGGCGTTTGGGCATGCTGTACGAGGTTCTTAACCACCACCCCGTGTGTGATTTGCAATGCGCAGCATGTCCACTCGCTGAGAGTTAGGTATGCTACCTCAGTGTGCAGTGAGATGGTGGGGACACGTGGTGACTCACGGCACTGCGGAAGCAGGGACTAAGTGGCGGAGATCTGGATACCTGTCTACGAGTACGAACACTAACACAGAGTCCTGAACGCCACTCTTCCCATTTGATAGCCGCCGTGTCCCGTAGATACAGGTGAGGGCGCCAACGCACACAGTGCAAGCGGAGCATAGACGTGAGGTAATGGTTAACGGCGGCGACACGGCTGAAGTAAAGTGTGAACTGGTTCACACTATGTGCATAGCTGGCGAATTGGATATAGCGCACTACTTAAACTTGATCGTGCTAAATCCCACTTCAGCCCATGCAGTGAGATCGGAATTCAGCGATTGCTGTTACGCCCCTGGTGTAAACTAAACGATGGACACGCAATGAACTTGAGAACAACAGAAGTCAAGTACACCCTAAGCTAACCGCATAACCATAGTGGATTTAAGACACTTCACTTGCCTTCAGCTAATTGCAGTTGAGGAATAAGTTGTAATTGCAAGTGGACAGTGTATAGCCAAATACCATGATGCTTTCTTCGGTTAAATAAGCAGATCCTACTTTGTGGAACGTTGCGCTACTAGATTAACTGGAATCAGCGAACGACTCAAGACTTCTCGCCTACGTCGGTACAACTTAGTTGCCGCAGCGAACACAGTCGACCTTATAGCCCTCAGATAGGCAGGAAAACAGTTATTCAGCATCCTAAAATGGTTCAGTGGCGAATGTCGCCGACATTGTTTGTGCATATTTCACCACTATCGGTCTTCCACAACGATGTGTAACTTAAGGGACTGTGACATTTTAAAACACCCAAAGCAGCTTGCTCAAAGTAACAATCAACATAGTAGTCGAGTTCGCAGTACCAGCTGCGTGCAATTCCTCGACTATCAACTCGGCAAATACCCACAACAAACCTGGTCTGCACTGTAATTGTCGTCCTGATTGCCGCGAATCTTCAGGATCCGGCTATGGTCGCAAACACCATTGTGCGTCCCTGAACGGGGATCTAGATCGATGAAGCAGAGCGTGTCGCAACAATGGTCTCATTATGAGTAGAAACAACGATACCAGTTCGATTCAAACACATTTTATTGGAATACAAGCGACTTACAAGTATGCGGAATGCAATGCGCGTGGGTAACCACTTCTCGCGTACTGGATCATTACGTTGCAATGCTACTGTGTCATGCGGGCTCGTTTAACTGACACAGTACGCTCCAGGAAACGTATCCTCTACTCACTCTTGAGGAAAATAGCCCCAGAAATTCCATGGAAAATCTCGGAATACCGCTGAATCATAAATTGTTTCACGTAGGTCTTTGTGATGCATTAAATGCCTTCAATGGGCTTCAGTAATGGAGAACATGGAGCAAGACGTAGGCTACCTGAACGATACGGCTCCTCTAGCAATACGTGTCCGTCACAACGACACTGGACCTTAACTAGTGTGACGGTTTGCGTACGTCGTCAACCCATTGAACTATATTGGGAACGGCCCATGGGACACTTAAGGGCTACCCCCATTAGGTTGGTCAATGGTTAGAGGTCAGACAAACACAGTCTTCTGGTCGTCCAGGTTGAGGGTTCGAAATGGGATGGCGTCCATTTCTGTAAAAGCCAAATCACTGCCACTTCTTTGCTGCCTTGCAGACAGGCTTTTGAGCCAAAGGCTTTCGCTGAGGACCATAATCGTCCTCTTGTTTAAGTCCGGCGCTCTGGTAGTATCCCAACCCACGTACAACTATAACCACCTCCTGCACCGGCCGTCGCGAAACTAATCAAGGATCGCCTTATCTGCGGAAGATAGCATGGCGAATAGGCGAAAACATGCTATTGCAGGCACCTTCCTTCTTTCTTTTCCACCTGTATCTTCTATCTACCACACTCTCCCCATTACTAGCCATACTTCCATAATTCCCAGTTTAATTTACAGTAATCGCAATGTCACTGCGGTCATACTAACTGCAGCTATCTTTCCGCACCACCCACTGCACATCAATAGCCAACAGTCCCATATAGGGCCACACTATCCCGTCTCCGTGGCGTGTCGCAATCCAAGACACACGGCGGGTGCTCCAAAAAAAACCCGAAACTCTACTTCTAACCGCTGTGTCAAACACTGCTCGCGGAACTCAATGGCCTAGTGATCATGGCGATAGCCGCCAAGCACTATGCCTCGGGTTCCACTCCTAGCTCAGCTATCTCTACCTGATGAGTCTAAATCAAGACGAAACCGTCGGTCGTGGAGTGCAGGGATAGGAGAGAGCCACACCGAAACCCTCCACTTCGGTGACGGTCCCAGTGACCGTTTTGGCAGAGGCTGACTTCCAAGTCAACCGCCGCCACTAATGAGATTGCGTGTCGCAATCCAAGACACACGGCGGGTGCTCCAAAAAAAAAACCCGAAACTCTACTTCTAACCGCTGTGTCAAACACTGCTCGCGGAACTCAATGGCCTAGTGATCATGGCGATAGCCGCCAAGCACTATGCCTCGGGTTCCACTCCTAGCTCAGCTATCTCTACCTGATGAGTCTAAATCAAGACGAAACCGTCGGTCGTGGAGTGCAGGGATAGGAGAGAGCCACACCGAAACCCTCCACTTCGGTGACGGTCCCAGTGACCGTTTTGGCAGAGGCTGACTTCCAAGTCAACCGCCGCCACTAATGAGATTGCGTGTCGCAATCCAAGACACACGGCGGGTGCTCCAAAACTAAAACCCGAAACTCTACTTCTAACCGCTGTGTCAAACACTGCTCGCGGAACTCAATGGCCTAGTGATCATGGCGATAGCCGCCAAGCACTATGCCTCGGGTTCCACTCCTAGCTCAGCTATCTCTACCTGATGAGTCTAAATCAAGACGAAACCGTCGGTCGTGGAGTGCAGGGATAGGAGAGAGCCACACCGAAACCCTCCACTTCGGTGACGGTCCCAGTGACCGTTTTGGCAGAGGCTGACTTCCAAGTCAACCGCCGCCACTAATGAGATTGCGTGTCGCAATCCAAGACACACGGCGGGTGCTCCAAAAAACCCGAAACTCCACAAATAGGTTTAATAGGATGCACTCGCATGCACGTTGAGCACACGGAGTATTGACGTGTGTTGCGAATCCGAAACTAGGATCAATGACCCTCACGGGGTCATTTAATTAACTGCGCCCGACTTGTCCTCTCGCTATTGGTTGCACGCATCCGGAGACGCTGTTGCGGCAACTAACGGCCAATCTGGGGTGGGCATTGTTCACAGATCTAAGGCTGTCGTCTTTGGTTGACTGGATTCCGGTGAACATCCGTTCACGTACAGCCCGTTTGCGATATCAACCAAGTTTGATTCACAAATAGTACAAGATGCTGTTTGTTTGTATTTTCCATTTATGCCCCCCACCGACTGTAGTTCTGATGCTGCTAAGGACACCTACAACGAACTGTATACACTGCTAGATAGTGGTACCACCAGTTCAGACATCATAGTTCTTGCAGGGGATATGAATGCGCAAGTGAGTCGTCTGAGCTCTTCAGAAGCCTTCATAAATAGAAGGTATATAGACTTAACTCAGACCGTATAAACAACGGCGAGCGTTTGTTGTAACTGTGTACGGAGCATCAGCTGTTTCATAGCAGCACCGCTTTTAGACACAGCGGGCGTCGAAGAGCCACTTGGCATCAACCTATAGCTGGATAGCGATGGACCCAAATTGATCTCTCATTGCCATAACTTACAAGAGGCGTAGTCCCATCCTGGATTGTCGCTCATTCTAGAGTATTTGCGTCCACTCTGATCACGATGTCATTTTTCTATGAAGTTTGCCGGAAGGCGTCTACCTTCATTAGCAACAGAGAAGCTATCTCAGTCGCTGGTCATCAAGCCTGTGTACCGAAATTTCGCTCTCTAGTCCTAATGACACTGAGCTTCAATGGAATAGGATTTCGACCGCCGTGCGACAAGCAGGAACCCCTGATTGCAGCATTACCAATAGTCACCGCATCAGTCACTGAATATCCGAGAGGTCGGTGAACCTGTTGGAACCCAGAAGAAAACCCTGCCGGCTCTGAGCACAACGTGACCAGGCGCATTATTATACGCGAAGTAACGTGGAGTCTACGTGATGAAAAGGAAGGCTGGTAGAAAAGTGGGGACCAAGAAATGCTGG